TAGTGGGCTACAAAGGCCACAACTACCCAGTGTGGGATACCCAATTTTCCCCGCATGGGTACTATTTTATCTCCGGGGGACATGACAGAGTTGCCCGGTAAGAAACCGTCGTTCTGTAACACAGAGTGAAGCACATATTGATACACCAGCACCTTCTCTTATCTGCCATTTTCCTTTCTCCAACAGTCTGTGGGCGACAGATCACTACCAGCCTCTACGGATCTTTTCTGGTCACCTAGCTGACGTCACTTGCACCCGCTTCCACCCCAACTCCAATTATGTGGCCACAGGGTCATCGGATCGCACCATCCGGGTGTGGGACATCCTAACCGGAAACTGCGTCCGCATCTTCACCGGTCACAAGGTCAGAGAGGTCGACAGAGCTGCAGATCTGTGCTCTCCCCGTTAGGAAGAACATCAATGTTTACATGTTGTCTTAAGTAATGTAGTAAAGCCTTTATATAACTTAAACTTTAAACAAAATGATATATTTGTTGAGGAAAATGTCTTACGTCTTAAGTTTGGTATCTGCATAGTAGGTTAAGTTTACACAATGTCACACACATCAGCAATTATTGTGATGTGATTGAAGTCATTACCTTGTGATTTCATTCCACAAAAATGTACTGCATTTGACAAACAGGGAATCATTGTGATGCAATAGCAAAATAGCGCCATCTCCTGGAATGACAAGTTCTTGTTTTTATTTTGTTGAATATAACAAGAGTTTATGGAATGAATGCAATCTTGTTTTCCCCCCCTTGTAGTAATATATGAATGCTTTAAAAGTAATTTGAATTAATTTTCATTTTAGTTATTCAACCAGGCAATACAGCATTTCCTAAGGGATATCGTTTTCATTCAACAAACATATTTTTCACTGCATATTTTGGTTTTAGTTTATAATAACCCTGGTTAGGGCTGCACGATATTGAAAAAAACTGACATTGCGATATATATTGCGAAATGAAAACATACAGGAATTGAAGAAAAAACGTTTTTTTTCCCGCAAACCATCCTTTCTTGAACTTTAATGCTATACAATTGGTATTTTTTTAACTATATTCAACCGGATGAAGGATTTTAGTCACGGACGTCTGGATCTTAAGTTATCAGAGCAACAAGCTGAGCTAGCTCGGTTAGCAGCGCCGAACTGCCCTGGAGAAACACATGAAACTACTTTATTCAGTGTTTTTACCTTTAATCACCCGGTCCGTTTGCTTTGGAGATTTGATTATGATTGGTGGTTTGCTGTGCATGCAGCGCCTGCATGTCACTCACTCACTCAAGTACCCCTGACATGAGAGGCGCGCAAGTTTTCCTTTTGTAGCAAGCAGCAAAATAATTGTATCATGACGTGTTTGAGTTAATTTGCCTACTTAATATCGCAAGTCCTAAAAAAAATATATTCAAAAATCGCACATCCTGCGATGTGAATATCGCACATATCGCGATTATCGTCATGACACGATATCGTGCAGCCCTAACCCTGGTCAATGTGTGTTTTTGCTTTATTATTTTGTGAAGGATCCTACAAAGTAATAATGTATCCAACACATGGAGAGTTAAATGTTTTTAAATACACTGCAGCAGTTATCAGAATTGTGACACTGCTGTACTGAGCCTCTTACCTCTCATCTTCCAGGGTCCTATCCATTCGCTGGCTTTCTCTCCCAACGGGAAGTTCCTGGCTTCAGGGGCCACTGATAGCAGAGTGCTCCTGTGGGACATCGGGCATGGGCTGATGATTGGCGAACTGAAAGGCCACACAGATACTGTGTACTCCCTGCGCTTCAGCAGAGACGGAGAGATCCTTGCCTCCGGTGAGTTGAATTGATATCAGCTGTTGCATTGCAAGACTTAAAATCTCTGTAGAAAATGCTAAAGCTACAAAACCCAACATACATGCTTAACATGCATTGACAATGTTTCATCTCGTTCTTCTAGGCTCAATGGACAACACAGTTCGTCTTTGGAACGCTACAAAAGCATTTGATGATTTAGAAACAGACGATTTCACGGCGGCTACAGGGCACGTCCATCTACACGATAACTCCCAGGAGCTTCTGCTGGGCGCCTACACGTCTAAATCCACCCCCGTCATACACCTTCACTTCACCCGCAGGAACCTGTTGCTGGCCGCCGGGGGCTACAATCCATGAGACATTGTTGAATGAGGAAAATTATCTATAATGCTTGAAATTAAGCAAACATTTGGTCCCCAAGGAACTGAAGAGATTCGTGGTTCAGTTGGAATGAAACTGTTATCAACAATACACCTCTGCTGAGAATCCAGCTGTGAATGAAGATAAAATATTTGGCTATCCTTCTCCTGTCTAACAGACATCCGCACGCCATGCCTAGTGCCATTGATGATTACGGATCTTTTTTTTTTAAATCACTGCCATGAGTACAGCTTTGTTCAACATGTGGCTGACATTTCTGTTTCATAGTATTTTATACTGGTGTACACTGTAAATAAAAAAAAACGTTTTCTACATTTGGGGCATAAATTGTCTTTATTGTTTACATAGGGAAACAAAAACGTATTTTTATTACAAGCATGTCCAGCTGCTTCCTCCACTCCAAGCTGTTGGTCAAAATGGAAACCTGTAAGGAGAAAATACAGACCTTCAGTTACTGGAATAAAGAAATACTTTTCTAAAGTAAACAGGGTTTGGAAACTTTAATGAACTTACATGATCATTCTTTGATGGCGGCCTGTTTCTTGGGCTTCAATTTGAAGAAGAGGCCAATGGCTACGATGCTAGCATATGTGGCCAAAACACACTAAAGGAAAGACAAATCATAGAAACATGACAGTTTTAGGCTGCTTGAATTAGAACAGTATGAAAATGTGGTATATTTATAGTTAAGTTGCACACAACTCACATTCCTCCTGCCTGTGATTGTGTATGCGTTGAAGTACTTGGCAAAGCCAGTGAACTGGTGCTGCGTTCCTGCATCGTGGCCTCCCATGATGGATTATTTATGTTCCTAAAAGAGAAGAAAGGTGATTGAGTTATGCATATTAGAATATACGAGCAAGACAATTCTTGACCTTTACAAAAATGACATTTGAAGACTTCACCTTGGGCCCTGGGACATTTTTCAAAATGATAATATTGAAAATCCGATCGATCATTAGAAGAATACCAAGTTTAACTACTTATGAGGGTCTTAATTTTGATTTTAAGTCACACAATACATCATTTAGTTGTTGCAGTGTTGATAGCTCTGCAGGACAGAGGGTGGGGAAACTCCGTGTTATCGCAAGTGAAATATTTTACACAAAATATACACAATACAACCTTATTGCAAATGTAAACGGCGTGCTGAATTGACTAGCCTTATTACATGACATTGTATGGTGATTAGATTGACGTGCTAGGATCAAATGTAGCTGACATGTCAAGACGCTAAGGACATGCTTTCGTTCAATACACCTTTATACAGTCTATGCAATACACCTGTAAAACATTTGTACCGTAAGGCTAGCCAACTTCAATGCAATAACATTGTGGTTGACACATGCTACAATAGTGGGCTTTCATTCATACTGACTTTCATTATCAGTTAGCTTGTAAGGGTTCAAGTTAGCTTCCTATGTTAGCTTGCTCGCTAGCTACTAGTTTAATATTCAGACCACTGCTTATCGTTTAATGGTACATTGACACACGCATTTGGATACAACATGAATACAACTTGGCATTGTAAAAAAACAATGTAAATAGTGTTAATTGTTTCTAAATGCGTTACGACTTACCTTTAACACTCGACCCTTGAGCAAACGGAACGAGACAAGTGTCCTTCAGTAAAGCAGAGGCCGCGATGCTAAATTCGCAAGGAAATCCCGCCTACTCCAAGTAACTCAACGTGTGTCAGTATTGGTCTAAAGTAATGTCACTCAAAGTAAGTGTGTGACTAAACCACCTATTGGCTTAAGGTGGTGCCAATCATTCTTTCTTATATGTGATTGGTGGAACATTGACACGCCTATATTGGATGTACTTCCGGGTTAGAATCATGGCGTGTTGCTGAACAACATGTGAGTTTTTCCGGAGATTTAATGTAAGGAAACATTTCATGATAAATTCTGAGAGAATCATTTGATACACGTTTTAATCCATTCGAGGTTTATCTATTCTGTATATGCTTTTTTTTATGCTGCCACACTCTCTTTGTGGTCAGTCTGAGTGCTTTAATACGTTAGCTCATGTGCTCTTCTCGTGCATTTGTAATGGTAACTTTAAATGCAGCAGAATTGGAACTGAGCTTTGTAGGGTTGGTTATATTTTTCGCACCATTCTTCTGTATTTGTAACTCCAATGTAATAGTAACTAGTTTTAAAATGTAAGATTTCTGGTTAAGTTACATGAAAGCAGAGGTGGGAAGTAACTCATTGCATTTACTCAAGTACTGAACTTAAGTAGAATTTTGAATCTTGTACTTTACTTGAGTATTTCCATTGTATGCTACTTTGTACTTCTACTCCACTACAATTCAGAGTTAAATGGTGTACTTTTACTCCACTACATTTATGTCATGCCTTTAGTTACTTTACAGATCTGGATTAATGGTGTGAAATCTAATCAAGTCTTAAATCAGACTTTAGTTCCACTTGGAGTCAATTCACAAGCTACCCTGCAGTAAAGTCATTAAAACTAGCTGCACCTTTACCAGCTTTGAGAACACTTTAATGATCAATCTTTATAAAACATATCATATATATATTATTCTGAAATGGACCAATCTGCGTAGCCTACTAAGTACTTTTGGTACTAACGTTTTTTTTTAAGTACTCCTACACTCTGGTATTTCTACTTTTACTCAAGTACAAGGTCTGATTAATTCTCCCATCTCTGCGTGAGAGGCACAATCTAGTTCTAATAACATCTATTTGTCACTTGGCTTAACATAACTTGTTTGTTTAATTTGTTTGGGATTTTGTTTATCAACAGTGCGTTTAATATTCTAAGACATCTGAAACAACATCAAACATGGCATCTGTGGAGGAGGACTTCCCTCGAGGAGGGTCGGCAAAGAAGCCCATCGAGAGTAAAATAGCTGTGCAGAGGACAGAGGTCGACAACTTGTTCCAGGTGAAGTCCTACTCGTTTCTGTCTTTGTGTCCATATAACTGTGAACATACTTTACTTTGACTAGCCAAATCACTCAGGATTGTGTGTATGTAGCTATCACCAAAAAGAGGATTATTATTCATTCAAGCTAAGCATCAGCTGTTCTGCTATCATACTCCTCTTATTCACTCTGGTTCACTCACACCTTCATATAGTGTTTGAAGATGAGAAATAAGGCAAGTTAACATTGAGATCTATTTTCAAATATTTATATGAAATACAGTATTGTTCTTCATTTAAATACTGTATATGGAAAAGGCTAGGGATGCAATTGTCAAATACTATCTTAGTCGCCTTTTGTTAACATATTTATGTTACCAATTATCTTTAATGTGCTCATGATATATTTTAGTATCAATCACAAGCCCCTGAATTGAATCAAATCAAAATGGTATCCTTGCTGACTTAATGATATTAACAAAACTCATTTGTGAATGATTGTTTGCTTTTCTGTCGCAGTCAAATGAACCAGCAGAATCAAAGAAAAGAAAGGGGGCGGGCAAAGATGACGGCAAGAAGCTCAAGAAGTCAAAGACGGGCAAGGAAGACGGCCTGACACTGAACGCAGCATCCAAGTGTGTGGAAATCCTGCACATGAAGGTAAAAGCGTCCTTGGGTTTCTTGGAGGCGCTATATATAAATCCAAGTTATTATTATTAAAACATTTGTCAAGAACCAGCATTTGTGAATCAATTGTTAAATGTGTATAGCAGGCTCATTTTCTCCAAATGATATAGTTTATTCGGCACCGCTGATTAAATGTTATGTTTGTTTTTCTTGATCTTCTGTGTATTATTCCTCATTTCCTAGAATCTGAAGGAGGGCATCCTGATGCTGGGCTGTGTGAAGGAGGTGACTGACTTTGAGGTGAAGGTCAGTCTGCCCTGTGGCATGCAAGGCTTCCTCAGCATCAAGAACATCTGTGACTCGTACACCAAGCTGCTCAGTGAGCAACTGGAGTCAGCTGATACAGAGGTAAGCCTGCAGGGTGGGGATTAGAAATGTCACTGGGATATATCATCGATTCTAAACAATTCCGTCCACATTTCAAAATCAGAATACCTTTATTTGTCCCACAGAGGGGACATATGCATTTTTTACAGCAAGAAAAGAGCTAAAGAAAGCTTAAAGGGGACCTATCATGCTAAATGCACTTTGTGATGTCTTTTTATACATAAATATGTTTCCCCGGTGCGTCGGGGGAACTCAGGCAGCGTCAGAAAATAAAACCCTCTCTCTTTTCCTCCGTACCCAAATCTTTTAAAAACGGGTGTACAACGAGCAGATACAGATTCCATCCGAACTGACGTCAAATTGGCGGCGGACCCACAGAAAGTTGCTATCAGAAACAATGCCTGACGTGTTTTGGATGTAATCTCGTTTTTGTTTACATTAGCAAGCCTCGCTAACACTCAGAGCTAACCTGTCCTAGAGAGTGTTTTAAAAAGCAGGAAATAAAAAAAGGAACTCGCCTTGTGATAAACCTGCAAGAGAAAAGGCATTTGAGCTCCATACTGTTTCAGAAATAATCCTTGACGTGGTTTAAACAGGATGGCGTTTTATCAAAGCAGAATTTAACTTTATCTCCGGTAGAATTCTGATCAGGCATTAGCTCCGCCTCCTCTTCTTTCTTTTTTTTCAAGCTAAGCACCCAAAATCTGAGTTTCTCTATATGCGGCTTTCACACCAGCGCTTTTCCCTTTCTAGCTCCGAGCGGGAACTTTTCTGGTTCAGCTCCGGGTTCCCTTTTATGCTCCCGCTCTGTTCACACCGCCCAGAGCTGCCGCTGCTGCGTCATGACGTCACCGTTTACGTGCCTGCTTCATAAAATCCAAACCGTGCGGAAATCCCTCACATCGACAACAACAACAATGGCCGATTGTATTGAAGCGCTGTTCGCTTTGGTTATCCTCTTACGAAACGAAATGGAAGGCATCGGACGACTTTACAAGGGACGACTTTACTTGGAACTTTACAAACATCACACGCAAGCATTTTGTTGTTGTTCAGGAGGCTGATCCCGCCCATGCCCCTGCCCCTGCCCCTGCTCCTGCCCCCGCCTCGACGTAAGAGAGACGTAAGCGACGCCGCCTCTTAGCTCCGAAGCTCTTGCCTCTAGACCGACCATTTTTTGGAGCTGGAAGTGAACCGGTGGCGCCTCTGCGGTGTGAACAGGAAAAAACTGTACTTTTCAGGCTCCAGCTCTGAGCCGGAGCTGAAAACGCGTTGGTGTGAAAGGGGCATTACAGGGCTTCAAAAGAGGGGTTTGAGCAGTATGAGGCATGGCTACAATGGGGGATCTGTTTGGTATTTTGAATAGGGCTGCAACAAACGACTAATTTGATTATCGATTAATGAAACGATTAATCGACTATTCGGACTATTACTGTATGCCTTGCACAATTTCTCAAACGCTCTTATTTAGCCATCAACTTTTAGATTTAGCTTGAGGTTGTTTTAGGCATGTGGAAACTAACAATGAAGACAATAAAGATGAATACTTGATTCAAAAATACATATATTATTAAATTAACTAAACACATTTTGAACAAAATTAACATTGCTTTTTATTTAAATTAAATAAATAATATTTCACATCAAAAGAAACAACAGTGTTTTAATAAATCGTATTAAATAATCTGATGACAGACTGTAAATAGAATAGCTGAAACTTTAACAAACTAAATAACTGAGTTTCCTCTAATCATGACCCCATGTTTGTATCATGTAGTTAACTCCGTGTGTTGCTGCTAGCATACATAACACCTGACATGGAAACGTTGCTCGCGGACGGGGCTACAGAGCTGCTAGAAAGACAGTCGAACCCGGTGCATTCCTCCGTCTGAATGTGGAGCACTTTTGCTAAATGTTCAGACAAATTGCTCGTGTTACCGCCCTTACGTGCTAAACTCTTATTGCACTTTTTGTAACAAGCATTGTCCTCATCGAGACGGGTAACATTTAACCACACCTCGAAGCGAGTTCTCTCCGCCATCTCCGCAGTGTGTTGCTGCATGTAGCAGCTGCGTGTGTGTAAACTGCCCCGCCCCCTCGCACACAGACGGGGGAGAGAGATCTCGAAAGATCGAAAATATATCATAGACGCATTTGTTTGTCTTTTTGCATATTAGAAACGAGTTGGCGACACTAAGACTGCGATATAATGTTTTTGTAGCAATAATACATGACATATATTTGTTAAATGTCTCCAGTACCGATAAAAAGACCGATAACGTTGGAGCTTAACGGCGCGTAAAACAGACGTGATGACGTCACCAACGAATCGACGACTGAATTAGTTGGCAACTAATTTCGTAATCGATTAAGTCGATTAGCTGTTGCACCCCTAATTTTGAAAAAAAAACGTGTTTTATATAGGTATGGCCCTACAATATATCTTTCAAATATAGAATGATAGGTCCACTTTAATAATAACCAAGATGTAAATATTAAAGATAAACATTTTTTTATTTTTTAGTACACACAATTTACAAAATACACATCCTGTGACAGTTCTGAAGATAGAGCAGCCAGGTATATATTGCACAGCTATTAACGGCATATATATTTCAATTGTTCTTAGTATTTTTAACTGGGATGATATATGTGAGTTCTGGCTTTATTGGATATGCGGAGTCTAGAATAATATAGCAACTAACTTAAGTCTACGGGTTCTTTATTTGCAATTGCAATGTCAATAGTTTACTAATTTCTTAGGATACAAGCCTTGGATTTAAGATTTTCATTTCCAACAACCACGCTGTAGCTATTGTGCAAACGACATGATTGGTTTTGAATCTTTGAATCTGTAACAAGAGATTGTATTCTCCCTTCACAGGAGATCTGCTCTCTGCAAGACATCTTCTCCCCGGGCATGCTGTTCAGGTGTGTGATTGCCAAGTTGGATCTAGCCAAAGGAGGCGCTCTCAGCATCCAGCTGTCAATCAATCCAAAGCTGGTCAACAAGGCTCTCACCTCAAACTCTCTGAAAGCTGGCATGGTCAGTCATAATGATCTTTAGTTTAAAATGTGGTTACCAAAAATCAGCTACCTTTTTAGTTTTATTTAACAATATATTTTACATATATTTTGTGACAACTCAGGTCTTGAGTGGATGTGTGGACAGCGTGGAGGATCATGGCTACATAGTTGACATTGGCCTCAGTGGAACCAAAGCCTTCCTGCCCAGGGAAGCAGTAAAGGACAAACACCCAGAAGGTATGACAATCTTAGTGGATTCCACATGTTCTGTTGCAGAGTAGCAGTAGTGCAGTTGTTTCCCAATTGTTTAGCATAAAGTCATGGATTAATGTCTAAAGCGTTTGTTCTTGTCTCTCCAGAGCTGAAAGTGGGTCAGAACGTCACTTGTGGAGTGGACGAAGTAAAGAACGATGGGCGCATTATCCGCCTTTCTTTGAGCACCCCCACCCAGGCCTGTGCTGAATCCGAACAAGGCTGGAACCTCACTAACCTGCTGCCTGGACTTCTGGTCAAAGCCACCATCAAAAAGGTAGAGAAAGCTTTTATTTTGGTAATGAGTACATCTTCTCTCCGAGGAAAACACTTACATTTTTCTGTGACTGATATGCTCTTACAGTCAATTTCACATCTTCAGTAATAGCATTGCTTCATTTGTATAAAGTATTTTTGTTTGTATTGCAGGTGACCAAACATGGTCTGCTCCTGGACTTCCTGTCCTCCTTCACTGGCCAGGTGGACTTTCTCCACATGGAGCCAGAACAGACAGACAGCTACACCGAGGGCGCCCAGGTAACACTGACATTGAACATTGATCCTGTTGGCTTTTACATTATAGATATAAATAATAAACGTTTGACTTATTAATGGTTTTACATCTGCTTATATTCAAGTATAAACATGGCCGCCTGTTTTGCATTAATCCACCAGGTGCGAGCCTGTGTGCTGTATGTGGATCCCTCCACCCGTCTGGTGGGCCTGAGCCTGCGCACCTTCCTCACTCAGCCCGGGTCCTCAATCAACATCTCTCCTGCTGGAGGAGACCGCATCGGAGAGGTGGTGAAGGACTGCAAGATGACCGCCATGCACCACATGTCTGGAGCCTTGTTGGAACTGCCTGACAACACGATGGCCTTCGTACATGTGAGTCAGGGGGATGCTTTTTAAATATTTTAGGCAAATTTTAGTCTTAAGTAGAATAAATACTCTTTGTAAAAAAAAAATCTGACTCAGCATTGGGTTAATAACTTAAAGGTCCCATAATGTAAATAGTGAGATTTTATGTATTATTATTCTAATGGTTAAGTGGAACATAAATACTGTGAAAGTAACACATTGCTTGGTCCACAAGTAAATGAAAACGGCACATATTTAAAAACTGTCTTTAAACATACCGTTAGGAACTAGGTATAGTTGTGATGTCCCAACTATGATGTTATACATGTAGAAAGTGCAGCTACACTGTCTGATGATGGTGCATCGATACTTGATTTGAAAGACCCTGTATCACTGACCAATCAGAGCAGTCTAAGCATCTTCAGGTCTTAAAGAGACGGGCACTAAAACAGAGCGTTTGAGACAGATGGTGAATACATGTACATTCCGACAGACAGTATGTCAAAACTAATGTGTTTTTTGAAGAGTAAAGTATATAAACATGATTATAAGAAACTTAAAATACATGTATGAATCAGAAAATAAGCATTATAAGTCTCCTTTAAATGTATCCTTCATCACAGAGGAACCATGTTAAGGAGTCTAGCGAGCTGTCCAATGAAAACCGACTGCTGGCCAGGACTGAGCACATCTGCAGGATCATGGACTTCAGCCCCATGGACCAAATTCACTTTGCTAGTCTGCGAAAGTAAGTGTTACCTCATTTGAGTGATATTGTGTAGTTGGCAACAACTTCCCAACTCTTATTTGATATGTTGACTAACCTTTTTCTGTCCTGTTTTTCAGGAGTGTGATTTCAAAGCGTTTCTTCAGATATCATGATCTTCAGGCCGGACAGGTTGTAGAGGTGAGAAAAAATTAAAACACTAGTTTTTGAAAGATTCCTGCAGGACAGGGCCGATAAAATCATGCAATATGATGTATAATCTATTATAGCTAGTTTTGGTATGATAGATTATAAATCCTATATTTGTGTGCACTGAGAGGATGCCTAATACCACTAATGAATTTAGTCAAATCTGTGGGTTTTTAGGTATTAGGAAAGGACCACATTTTTTGACATTTGTGCATAAAACTATTTCTCTTAGCACCATAAAGTAATCCAATCCAATCAGAATGTGAAATTAAATGACTTGTAATTTAAGATAATGAAGTAGTATCAGAGTTCCCGTTAGCCGGTAATTACCGGACTACGACCGGTAAAATATGCTGAAGACCGGCAAATCTAAATCTCTCCGGTCAAAGTGTCCGTTCAAAATCATTTCCGTTTAGCGCAATAACGCATCAGTTGTGCAACTTGCGCCATTTATGTGACAGACAATAATAGTCAATTCTAATGTCTAACACTTCATGTGGAGAAAGAGATGTCCTGTATGGGTTGATTGTGCGTTGATCTGTTGGTAATGCCTCGGGGTTCCGGTGGGCATGTAAACAAATGCATAATGCTGCGCTATACTTTGCGGCCTCACCCGGTTGCATAGCGACGCTTATTGTTTAGGTGTCTTTTAATATAGCAGGTAGTCCTATCATTAGCTGGATCTGATCGATATGGACATAAACGCGAGTCTAATCTGACGGGAGAGAGAGAGAGATCAGCTGCTGCTGACGAGTCGACACGCAGCTCTGCATGATCACATGCAGAGGTGAGCGGACAAAACACACTTCAGGTTAGAATATCACACGTAGCTATTTTAATGACCTCTCAAACTACCTAAACTAGTTATAGATAAGTTTAGTTTTACTGTCGGGTCACTCATTACTGATCCACGAGCTGCATGATACTGACTGGCTGTCAGGAGAGGGAGAGCGCTTTGTTTATTATTCCCGTGTTATTGTAAGTTACTGAACACTTTTGAATAATGTAGTTAATCTACTATGATTAGTTTGTTTAATATCGAATCATCTCAATTTGTTTTAAAGCACAATAAATAACAAAGAAGACCTTTGACCGGCACTTTTCTCATTTTGTTCGGAAGATTTAAACTTTAACGGACATGTTGACCGGCGAAAAAATATTCTAACGGGAACTCTGAGTAGTATTAGTAATCGTTTAACATTTTGAGAAATTAGTTTATTTGCCTATCGTGGTGACCAGCAGCTTTCTGTAGTACTGTCATTACTCTGAGTTTGCCTAGACAAGAGAGGAAATAATTATTCCCTGGATATTTTTAAGAACCTGACAGCCCATTTTCTCCAGTTAAAAATAGCAACTTAGCCAGGTGTTGAAAAAAAAGATCCTATATGTCATTATAATGACAAACCTTCTCATTATAATAACCCAGTTTCTATAGATAGGTTTCTCATTATTGTGCAATACGAAGTCATTTATTTATTTTATTTTTATTTTACTGGCAGAAATGGATTCCATACCCAACTTTTCAACAAGACAATTTGTTTTTATATAGTCACATTTCTTAAATACATACTATTTTTCTATGAAATTCTTGCGGCAGAAATTATTTGTATTTTGTACCTGGTGTAGTTATCTGGAACATTTTAAATCAATTTAGTGAGGAAGTTTATGCTTGGTAACAATATATTTTTGAAAAATATATTTTCACTTATGAACAATTTATTCATAACTCATTCTGGACTTGCTGTGTTTATTGTCTCTCACTTTGTCCCCCGTCTCCCCCTCTCAGGGCACGGTGTCAGTCCTGCTGCCTCACGGCATGATGGTGAATGTGTCTGACCACATCAAAGGCCTGGTGCCCCGCACACACCTGTCCGACATCCTGCTGAAGAACCCAGAGAAGAAGTACATAGAGGGCATGAAGATCAAATGTCGGGTCAGTGAAGAATCCAAAAGAGAAATTCTCTAACCTGCAGATTCACCTGTCATTTTGAATATTTGTTTTATTCCTCTGTGTTTGTGTGATGATGTTCCTCCAGGTGCTCTCCGTGGACGCAGAGAATAAGAAGCTGTGCCTGACCAGGAAGAAGGCCCTGGTGGAGAGCCCCCTGCCGCTGTTCCTCAGCTTCAGCGATGCACGTCCCGGCCGCGTCTCCCACGGCTACATCGTCTGCATCAAAGACTTTGGCTGCATCATGCGTTTCTACAACAACGTGAAGGGCCTGGTGCCGACCAACGAGCTCAGCTCCGAGCCCATCGTCAACCCGCAGGAGGTCTTCTACGTGGGGCAGGTGAGGAGGATTATCTCGGTCAAAATTATCCGCCAACTTTTCTCCATGTCTTTTGTTCAGGATGTTGGAACCATTAGGAATTATCCTCTTCTTTTGCCGGTTGCATTTGGTATATGAGGGCTTTTTGTCACGCACATAGCGGTACAGACCATAAGTCACAGCCACACAAACGGGAAGTGAATACGAATGTAGAGCCCGTCAAACAATTTTTATTTTAGTTAGCGTTTGATTTAGTATAGATTTTATTTTTCACCACCAGATGGAATCCTTAAATCTTCATTATATTTGCCCAGGCTCACGGGATAAATATTTCATATAAATGATATTGGGTGTATAAATGCCAGTGGTATATACTGCACGTTATTTTCAGTTTGATTTTATTTGTCAGGTAAGTTGAAACATCTAATTAGGAGAGTTTAGTTTAGAAAAATGTCTAACTAAATACAGTTTTGGAGATTTTAATAAAAGAAAAAAAAATGTATAGTCAATGTTTGTGAACATACCGTTACATTTCCAATTTAAATGAGAAAAATGTGAGCTGGCAGTTATAGTTCTTAGAAAAAATAAGAAATTCGGAATCTGTAGGTCAGACTTAAAAAATCAATGCATCTATAAGTGTTAACCAACCTTTGGCTGTCAATTACTCATTTCCTTTTTTTGTTTCCCATTAATTTCCCAGGTGTTAAAGGCTAAAGTTCTCAATTGTGACCCCGCTAAGGAGAAGATGGCGCTGTCCTTTAAGGCGGCAGTGGAGGGAGACACAGAGGAAGCCCCCCAGCCCCAGTTTGACTGTGAGGTGGGGACGGTGAGTCCAAGACCTTGTCTCTCTGGGTTTTAAAAATCTTATCTTATCAAATGTTGCCCTCAACCTGTGTATTTGTATGATGTAGAAACTGGAGGCCAAGGTGCTGAAAAAGTCAGTCAACGGTCTGGAGGTCGCCATCCTCCCTGACGAAAACCGTGCCATGCTACCCACAATGCACCTTTCCGATCACATGTCCAACTGCCCTCTGCTGTGGGAGAGCCTGCAGGAGGGAGACAACATCTCAAACATCGTATGCTCCAGCAAGACCAAACAGCATGTTGTATCCTTTCTGTCAAAACATCACAAAGTAGAGTTTGTGTGATTGGTTCTGTACAGTGTGAAATGTGTTGCTACCCTTTGGTAAGAAAGGAACATTTTCCCAGTTTTCCTGAGCTGCTCCTCTTTAAAGATCGTCAGCAAGAAGCCAACAGTGCGATGGTCTCTGGAGGAAGGCGTGGTGGCCAAAGACTTCTCTGAGATCACAGTAGGAATGCAGCTGGTCGGTTGGATCAAGAACATCATGTCGTACGGCGTCTTCGTGGAGTTCCCTTACGGCCTCTTTGGGCTCGCACCCAAGTCGGTGAGTAAAGGGTTTCTAGCCTGAACAATCTCTACATAAAAGTGATTTTACTGTCTTTCCAACTACCTCATGTTAAGCCCAGAGTAGGTTTAAAAAAAAAAAAAAAGAGAGAGAGATTACAAAAAAACTGTAAGAGAGGGGTGTAATATTCACAGAAAAATCTCAAATGTGCAGGTTTAAAGAAGTACATTTGCGAGAATAAAGGTCGAACATACAGAATATTCCTAGGTAATAAAGTAATTTGTGTGAAAAATCACAACAGAAATTGGATAAATGTATGTTTTTTTCATTAGTTAATTACATTTTTTTTATTTGCAATGGTTAGATAAACGTCTTTGCTTTGCCGCTTATTATTCCTGCGATGGATTATACTCTGATTATACTTTGCAATCAGATTTACTGTCAAGCAATGAGAACAAATTGGATATTACATTTAATCTCAGAGAATAGCATTTTTTTTCTTGCAAATGATTGACTTTATTCTCTCGAAGTCATTATCTTGTAGATTTACCACTTAAGTCCTGGGGAATATCAAAGTTATTTAATGTAAAGTAACCCATGAATCTCGGATATTCAGTTCTATACGCCTTTCCCTAGGTCAATAATTTATTTCGTCATATTTCCCCACTGAAATCCTTTTATTTATTTTTTCTTTCAGGCCATGACCACCAAGTTCCTCAGCGATACGGCGTCTGCCTTCCAGCTGGGCCAGACGGTCCTCGCCAAAGTGACCAACCTGGATGAGGAGAAACGGCGCTTCCTGGTCACGCTGAAGATGTCAGAGGTCATCTCTCCGGACGGCGATGCCGAGACCAGACTCTTCAACGGCGTGCAGGAGAGAAAAGCTGTGTCTGAAATGTTGGCTAGCAGAGGTAAGAATTCATCCCTCTTTTAATTTTTAATTGAAAGTTTGTCTACTGCGTCTAACCTCTTGTCGTCTCCGTTTCCCTCTCAGAGAACAGTGATCTCCACCAGCAGCTGGCTGCTCTGGCTGTGGGAGAGAAGCTGAAGCTGACTGTAGATACTAGCTCCAAGGACAGCGGCGCCACATTTAAGTCTGATGATTTGACCCATGCCACCATACTGGCCACCAAGCACCATGTCATGGGTATGTGTTTCACCAGGAACAATTTGAAATGAGCTTGAAATGTTTGAATATTTAACTTCTCTGTCACGATTCTTTGGCATCACATATCGTTCTTTAAATGTCCTGACATGCAGAATAGAAAAAGACTGGTATTAGGTTTTTTTAAGTTAGGATTGCATCAAACTAAATGGTGTGGTAAAAGACGCCACTGCATTATTGAACCTACATTTTTATTCTTATTAAATTAAAGTATTTTAGGGCAACTTTACACTGTTTATACAGAGAGTAAGAGATGATAGGAAATACATGGTCATTGTCTTAAAATAAGCCACTTTCATGAAGTTGGAGGGCTTGCAAGAGGCACATGAAACCCTAAATGGACAGCATTAATACAGCCAAGGCTATCTGGTGTGGGTTCAATACAAAAAAACACCCATAATTCAAAAGCATTTTTCATTGGTCTTGTCCTGCTGACGTGGCGTGAGGTATTTGTTCAGAGCTTGTGGCCCTGACTCCCTATGAGTTAAACTAATTCACATATAGCATTGATACTTTTAGAAGATTGTTGATTTATTTATTTTGTCAAAAATCTGTCAATGTAACAATATCATATTTCAGGTGCTAATCTGAGCCCAGGACAGAAAGCCACTGCGGTGGTCCTCCATGTTGACATCCTGTCCGGACAGGTCCATGTGTCCGTCCTCCCCAAGCTGGTGGCAAAGAAGAAATCTGTGAGTATTACTTTTGTTGTTTTAGAACTATAGCATATTAGTTGGGTATTATTATTTGATTTTAAAAAAACTGACAATTTAAGATAAAGTGTTACATTTTAATATAAAAAAAACAGAACTTAGATTACTGGGATCATGTAAGTCATACATTTGCTGGAAACAGATGAATTTGTGACTTGTATCTAAAGAAAATTATAATAATTTATCATTTTTATCATCTCAAAGAATGTTCAAATGTTTCACTTATAAATTAGTTTTTATCCTGTCAATGTACAACTTAAATCTCTTCTTTTTTTTCAGTTTTTACCTCCAGCTTAGTAATTATTATTTATTTGTATTAAAATGAAACTAACACATGACTTCACTTTGGACATTTTGATTAAATCCAAATTTCCCAACAGTGCTTTCTTTGGAGCAGCCTGATCAATCTTTGTCTATGGTCTTTGTAGATGTCAGAACATAACCATTTTCTGTAGTTATTGACTTTTTGTGTATTTTGATGCGTGTTTCCATAGTTAACTGAAGGAACAAAGTACACGGTGATGGTGCAGCACGTGGACAAAGACTTCGCCGTCATCTCCCTGGAGGACACGGCCCAGCTGACGGTGATCCAGACCAGCAGGCACCTAAATGAGACCTTCCTGACTGACTCGGAGAGGCTGAAGGCGGGCATGTGTCTGGCAGCTGAGGTGATAGAAGCCAGCTGTGAGGCGCTGCAGGGTCTCCCCCTGGTGTCCTGGGCGCGCAGCGCACCCAACCGACAGCGCACCGTCTCAGAAAACCTGACGAGCACCAAGGGCCATCGCTTCGGGGACATCGTGCGGGGCAAAGTGAAGAAGGTGAAGCCCACCTCCATCATGGTCACATTGGAGGACGGGAGCACGGGCAGCGTGCACGTGTCCGAGGTGGGGGAGGTCGCAGATGTTCTTGAGGGGTCCTTCCCCACATCCTCCGTTAAAGTCGGCAGCGAGGTCACCGCCAGGGTCATCGGAGGACGGGAAGCCTCCAGTCAGAGGTACACACTGCCGAAGGGTTCACTTTACATACATTTATTATGAAACCGGGCTGTGGAGTATATAGATATTATATCAATGTTGTGATATGATCCTTTATATCGTCTTTCTCTTCTGATATTCTAATATTAAATAAGTGTCTTTTCCTAGTTTTAAAGGCTGCATGACAGTTAAGCAATGATTTTCCTAAATGTTCTAGTTGTTAGTATTTTCCTTTTACTAGGGCTTCACAATTAAACATTTAAAAACACTTGAATTGACATTATTTTGACTGATATTGCAATAGTAATATTCACAGAATCAAAGGGAAGGATAACTTTTTGAATTACATTGAAAAATAAAAAGTCATGTGTTTCTTCTATTCTTTTTACGTGACGGTCTGTAGCAAACAAAATGATTTTATTTAGTCAGTAGAATTCCGTTTATAGTTGTAGTAGGCCTGGACCTTTCTACAGCTACACAGTAAGTGATAAGAAGAACGCCATGACCATGATGTGTTATTTAAACTGTATTGAACTTGAAATGAATCTCACCTTTTCTGTTTCTTCAGATTCTTGCCCTTCTCCCATCCCAAGTTTACATACACCATCCCTGAGCTCACTCTCATACCCAGGTAATTATACTGCACTATTACCTGAATATCATTTATTCCCAAAGTAGTAAATGAACAGTATTCTCAATTTAAAACCAGTCATTTTGATGTGTATATCTGTTTCCTTCTGTTTTAATCAAATATTATACAGATCATAAAATGCTCATTACAGAAACAGAACCCTGTGGTGTTTGGATGCGTCAGCGTTTGTATTTATCTTTTTTTTTTTTTATTCGTCAGTTTCGTCACTTATTTGTGTTTTTTCTTTTTTACAGCAAACTGGATGAGAGCGCAGATTTCAAAGCAGTTCCAACAAAAGAAAAACTAAACGGCTATAAGGTCGGGGAAAAAATTCAATGCTTTGTTTCAAAGGTAAGTCTGGAAAATCATAACGTCTTGCTTTTCTTTCTTTCTTGCTGTTCTTCATTAATCATAAATGATTTGAAAAGAGAAACAACTGCTCTCCTGATCTACGGTGTATTCATGTTTTTGTCCCCAGTTTGTTCCAGAGAGGAAGACTCTGGAGGTCACCACTGATCCTTCTGTTACCGGGACAGTTGAACTGCTGGCCATGATCACCAATCCAACAGTACGTTTTTCCTATCAATTGGTCCATGTCCGATTTATGTTTACTAGTATTATAAAAGCTTTGGAGAAAATGAGAATAAATAAAACATCATTTGTAACTGCTGTGATTTGTTTAAACTAATTTTCAGGGCACCAGCCGCCCAGAAAAACTCTACAAGCAGGGTCAAGCTGTGAACGCCAAAGTGGTGGAAGTGAGCTCCAAACCTCAACGCTTAATGCTGTCACTCACGGGTAGGAGAAGCTCATTATCATTATGTTCCTATTGCATTAAATCACATGCTATTTACTTACCTGACTTGCATACACTTTAATATGCCTGCGGGAGCCACTTGGGGTTGAGGTATTTTGACCAAGGACTCTTCAACAAGCTGAATGCAGGGGCTGGGGCTCAAAGTGCTGACCCTATGATCTGTAGATTAGTCATCTGAATCTCTCGGATGTTTATTCAAATCAAGAGACGACAATTCATTTGATTCTGTGGCTCTGGAGATACAGCGCTCGTCCATGTCAAAGTATCCTTGGGCCACATGCTTAACCCCAAATGACTCCGGATGCAACAGTGTATGAAAGTTAGTTCACCTTGTACAGCAGCCTCTGCCTCAGTTTGACTGCGTATGAATGTTGAATTGTATGTGAACACAGACTGGAAAAGCGCTTCTCATTGCTTTCCATTTACCACCAGGTGTCCACAAGCTGGAGAAACACAGTGTTTCTATGGGGATGGTGACCAAGATCCAGCCGACCGTCGGCCTCCTGGTCAAGCTGCCGTTCGGCGGCAAGGGGGCCGTGGCTGTCACCGACCTGGCCGACGCCTACAGGCAGAACCCTCTGGACGGGTTCAGCAAGGACCAGCTGCTCAGGTCAGTGGAGGCAGCCGAGGAAGAGCCTGTTGAATATTTGTTCCAAATGTTTAACATGCATAGAAAATATATATGAAACACTAGTGATAAATACATTAATTATAGTACAACAATGTTAATGAACATTTTTTTTTTCATCAAATAATATTGCGTCCCCACTCCAGAAGTCCTGAAAAATCATACTTATCATTTTAATATATGTTTTAATGATATTGTCAGTAATTCTCATTCATTCTCATTGTGTCCAAATTGACAATATCAGTCTATAAAATAACAATTTGATATTTTTTCTAAATCTTATAAGCCTTTTACATAGACACGGTAAAATTGTATATATGGTATTAGTGGACCTGTACTGTGGTGCAAAACCAAATCAATCTATGAAATGTAGATTTCTATCAGCAGGTTTTTATGTGAATCACTCCCTATGCACTTTTAAGTCTTGTTCTGTTTTTTGCAGCTTTGTTAATTGCTGGGTTTAGTTTTCCTCCTGATTTATCTTTTTATTGTTGGTGCCTTTGCGGTATATTGCATGTAAACATTGTTTTAAAAAGTGATTATTAATATATTTTTGTATTTTCTTCATGTGTCTGTGTAACCCTAAAGGAAACAACGTTAAGTTTGATTTAACTATTAGAATCCTTACTGCCTTATAGTAATACATGTAAAGGCAATATATATACTACCAGCATCCCCAATGTATCTTTATTTATCTTTCATTGTAATGTACATTTTTGTCTATTTTTGCCTCAGATGTTTCCTTCTCGGGGAAGAAAATGGAAAGTGGCAGTTGTCTTTACGTCCATCGAGGTATGCGCACGTTTGGTTGGAGTGTCTGTAATAAGTTGCATCGTATCACAGCATTTAACTGTAACTCTGCTCTTCCAGACTCAAACAGAAGGAGACCAAGCCGGCGAAGGACCCGGAGGTTTTATCTTTAGACAAACTGACGGCAGGCCAGATCATCAGAGGCTACGTCAAGTCTGTGGGAGAGCAGGGGGTCTTCATCAGGTAAATGGGGAATTCATGCAGCACTGAGCCTGTTCTGCATCAGACTAGACCAGTGCTTCTCAAAGTGTGGCCCGTGAGCGCCCCCTAGTGGTCCGTCAGTATATTGGTAACATTTCACATTTGATATAAATAAATACATTTAAGTTTTCCGCACTCTCGCGGGAATATCTCCTGAATGGAACAAGCTTAAGTTTCACTTTATATTGCATGACAAAGCCCAGGGCAACACCTTCGTCACACATGTTGCTACTTGTTTGCACCATTTTCAGGCGATTTATAATCTGTTCTAGAAAAACGATGTGTTTTGAGATATTTGTGGAGTTAGGTGGTCCGCGAGTGTTTTTTTATTGGTTAAGTGGTCCTTGGTATGAAAAAGTTTGAGAAACACTGGACTAGACAGACGTTTTTTACAGATTGTGTGGTGACTCGTAAAAGGAACAACATTATCCAAATGTCTCTGGGAAATGTCGTTTCAATAGTTGTTTCAGCATTTATCATCTTCTTCTACATGTTTGTCATCCAGGTTGTCAGCGAGCATCACAGGAAGAGCACAACTTCAACAGTCCACCAAATACTTTGTCAACCACCACAAGGTCCTCTCTGATCACCTGACCCCCAACAGCCTGCTCACCACAAAGATCGTCAGGTAGGAAGGAGCAGATTTTCTAAAGATGTGATTTCAGGAACTGGGCAATGTTTTTCTTTTGGGCTCACCATCGTTCAGTGTCAGTTAGGCGACCCTGTGCCGGTCAAACCTATGTGTCACACTATGGTTCATGTCACACCACTCGCACGGGAACAAACAGCGACAAACACACAGTTTTATGGCTAGATTATATAACATTTTAGACAAAATATATTTTTTCAGGGAAAAAGCTAGAAAAACATTATATTGACATTAATCCAGATTATACCTTTTTGTAAAAAGATACTGATTCATAAATAGTTTGGAGAAAAATACATAGAGAATAGGCCAATTAGCCCTTTTAAAAGGGCTAATTGCACAGTTTAGAATTGTCTGTAAAAAAGTTACAAAGGTGCAATCTGCATTTCCATAGATTTCCATTCTGTCATTGGATATAAATAGAGAAAGGAATAAGTCATCATACTTGACGCTAGACAGTGGTTTGGACAAACAGGAAGACAGTAGCGCTGTAGTGCTGATCGGGTGTCTTTCCTTGTCTCCCCTTGCAGCTTCAGGTATCGGCTAATTATAGAATCACTGCTGTCATCGTTTTTCATCCTGGGCTCTTTTTCTATTCTTGTCCTCAGCATTGACACAAAGGAGGAGCTGGTCCACCTCTCTCTGCTCCCAGAGGACACTGGGAAGCCAGACGTCCTCCCAGAGTCCCTCGGCCTGCCGCTGCGTCTGCTCGGAGAGGAGAAAAAGGAGCACGACTCGAACAAGAGGAAACGTGCAGCATCCAAGAGCGAAAAGGTAACAAACGGCCTCAGAATCCTCTCACTTAAGTGTCTTCCTTCCTTCCTTCCTTCCTTCCTGCTGTTTACATTAAATAGTAAACACACTTTAGAGGACTTACTTCTCAGCTGCCCTCTGTAATGAAAAAAACACTTATACGTTATGACCTGCTCATTATCATTTTGGCCGGAAGTAATAAAAGCTGCATTGATCTCAGCCTCAGGTCAAAACTCTCTCCATACTCAGCAGCTTGAAAGAAACAAAGAAATGGTTGACCAATCCCAACAGAGCTGGCCAGCTAACCAATCAGAGCAGAATGTATGTGAGAAATAAAGAGCTTTTTGAACATTAAAACATGGTAACATGTCACAGTAATGGCAGAAATACTAATATGAACCTGAAAGTGAGCAAAATATGGCCCTTTTTTAAAGGCATTTGGACTCTAAGAAGACATTGCCGTGAATTGGGCCCATTTATACTGTAGGAAAACAACTTAGTGATTTTGTACATCGGGAATCAAAATGTGATAGACGGATGAATGATAAAGCCATTTTCTTTACTGAACCTAACACAATGCAAGCAAATATTAACCCTGGTTATTTTATTACAGTATATTTAATCTTAATGTGTGTATTGACTTTGGTTTTTATCTCCCAGACATCAGAAGAGTCCACCGTCTCAAAGAAGAAGAAGAAGAAGACAAAGCAATCGAATAGTGATGAGAACGACAGCGGAGTGGAGGTGTACTTCAGAGAAGAGGAGGATAAGGAAGAATTAACCAAATCTGTTTCTGTGAAAGTAAGTGAATACAATGCAGCGCAGTATTCACTACAGTAATATCATCATCCAGAAAAATGTAATAAATGTCCCTCCTCTGTCTCTCTGCAGGTGGCTCAGAGCTCAGCAGCTCCGTCCAGACTGCAGCTGGCAGCAGGTTTCTCCTGGGACGTGGCACTGAGCTCCCTGAAGCCGGCCTCTGTAGCGCAGGAGGGCGACTCCAGCGAGGGAGAGGACGAAGATGGAAGCAGCAAGGTGAGCTCATCATCAAGAATCTTCTGGTTATTTAAGGTGTTAGAGCCAGTCTTTCGTTTTGTAAAAAGGGCCTAAAAAACGACATCTCCCACGGCCCAGCCTCTTAAGAGACACAGATATAGGCAACATGTGAAAGATGCCACAGTTTTTAGTATGTCGTTTTGCATAGGACTACACAAAGTAAAAAAAGGAATATGATCTAAGTAGTTTATTATTATTGTACACGAGTGGCACAACATATCATTGGAAGGCAAACAAGTTATCACAACTGTAATGAATACATATAGAGGAAAGATAAGTCATTAGAAGTGTCTGTTTAAGGCTTGATGGAAACAAAGGAAGGCAGCAGCGACAAAAGGAATACAACTTTCTGTCATCATTATATGTTTGCAGCCTAAATATTATCTCTAGAAGTCTCCTCCAATCTCTGAACCTGAAAATGTTCTTCCATCATGACTCATTTTCTTCTTGGCGCACCGTTCTCCTCCACCAGACCCAGAGGAAGACTCGCCACGAGCTGGAGCAGGAGAAGAAGGCGGCAGAGAAGGCCCTGGTGCAGCGGGAGACGGAGCTGATGAACCCCAGCATGCGGCCCGAGGACGCCGCCGCCTTCGAGCGCCTGCTGCTCGCCTCCCCCGACAGCTCCCTGCTGTGGCTGCAGTACATGGCCAACCACCTGCAGGCCACGCAGATCGAGCAGGCCCGCGCCGTGGCCGAGAGGGCCCTCAAAACCATCTCCTTCAGGTGATTGACTTATGGTTAATGAAGTTTTTAGCTATTTAACCGTGTTATTCAGTTCCATTTATTTTACATGGAGATCATTAAAAGACAGCAGGAATACGTTTCCATCTATCAATCAAATCTTAAAAAGGTTAATCAGTAGAGAACAGATCTGCTCAGTGTTTCTCCCCTCCAAAACTAAGACGATTTTAAAACTCTCAATCGTCCTTCCTGGCAGTCAAGATAGAGGCCAAGATAAAAACAAACGGTTGCCTAACTTTAATGGATCATAACAAATCGGGTATGGAATTAATTTGCACATGCCCAATGTCAAAATGAGTTTTGAGCCCCTACATAGTCCGTGTTCAATAAGGTCAGCAGTCTGAGTCTGAGTCAGCAGTCTGTGGCAACATTCAGATAACTGCAATAACAAAAAAGCCTGGAACATACATACCCCCTTGTGGGTCAAGTATAAGAAGGCGAGCCTCAAGAAGCTCCAGGTTGCATATAATGACTGTTTGCGTATACTGCTTAGAAAACCAAGGTGGTGCAGTGCAAGTGAAATGTTCTGTAACGCACGAGTCAACACGTTCCATGCTCTTTTGAGAAATCAAATGTACAAATTCATCTGTCGATTGAATGTTTCTCATAACTCTGTCATTATGCTGCTGTCAAATCCGTGTTTCAGTGCTGTACGATACCAGTCACCTCTGTGGAAACATTGGTATAACTGCCTTTTTTAATTTATATTTGAGTGTTGTATGTTTTTGTAATAATGGACCAAGAGTCTCTTTAAATAAAAGATGATGATGATGATGATGATACATAAACAGAGAAGAGACCAAATATTAGAAAGAAGGGTACGATGGAAAATATCATCTCCCCACAGTAATGTATAGAAATATTGTGTTTGTCCCACAGCAGGGATATTTTAATTGCAGTAAAGGGACAGATAGGGGCACAAATATTTTATATATAAAAATGTTTATAATCCTTAATAATTAAAACAAGTATTTCTTGGGCTGATAAGATAATATGTGCATATCTGTTGCAATAGGGTGTGTCCAGGAAGGTTTAATAACATATTCTTGATTTATATTTGTGTAACTCTTGTCCTGTCTGCAGGGAGGAGCAGGAGAAGCTGAACGTGTGGGTGGCGCTGCTGAACCTGGAGAACCTGTACGGCACAGAGGAGAGTCTGAAGAAAGTGTTTGAGCGGGCGCTGCAGTTCTGCGAGCCCATGCCCGTCTTCCAGCAGTTGGCCGACATCTACGCAAAGTGCGACAAGACCAAGGTACGATCGACAGTGAAGAGTAAAGGATTATGATTACTCAAGAGCTGAGCTTGTAGAAACATGGTATTTCCCCCTTTACCTTCCCTTTGCTGTTTTACGAACGGCTTTAGTACCTTTGTAGAAAACTATTTACGCACCCTAACTGTCCAGTGTAACTATGTGGTTCTCATAGGAAAGCAATGCAACAAACATGATAATCCAAAAGGTTATTATGCATTGCTGCACAGTAAACTACCCAACTGTGCACTTACAATGAGCACAACCGTAAACATCTATAGCAGTAAAACACAACAGCATTATTAATGCAGAAACATCTTGTACAAATATTTCAACTCTGACAGGGAACACTTTACACAAAATGACTCCTTTTTACTTGAACTACCCTTAGTAAGATGTGGTCATCATAATATTTGGATATTTTACTTTAATATATATTTGAATGCACGACTTCTAATTGTAGTGGATTATTTTTACTTGGTACCTAAGTAAAGGATCCAAATACTTCTTCTACCACCTAGGATCTGCTGACTGTATTTGTTTAGACGAATGGTAAAATACTGTTCTGTAGCCACCAATGCCCACATGTCCCTGTCTCATGTGTTTTTCCAGGAGGCAGAAGGCCTGTATAAGACGATGGTGAAGCGTTTCCGTCAGAGTAAGGCGGTGTGGCTGAGCTACGGGACCTTCCTGCTCCAGCAAGGTCAGAGTGACGCTGCCAGCGCTCTCCTGCAGAGGGCGCTGAAGAGTCTGTCCTCCAAAGAAAGTAAGAAACCCAAACATCAAAGGCGTAGTCACAAAACAGTTTGAGTTATACTTTTTGGCTGTTCACCCACCCTTCAGATCTCATGTCAGAGTGTATTCGGTCTTTCTAATAATACAAAAAATGAACCCCCCTTACCATCCGTGCTGTGTATATCCATAGGTTTTAAGCTTTCCATATTCCTATTCCTCTCAGGTGTGGATGTGATCACCAAGTTCGCTCAGCTCGAGTACCGTTATGGTGATTCGGAGAAAGGTCGCACCATGTTTGACAAAATCCTGACAACCTACCCGAAACGCACTGACCTATGGTCCGTCTTCATCGACCTCATGGTCAAACATGGGTCGCAGAAGGAAGTCAGGTGAGCGAAAGATCCTACTTTAATCTCTAACTCCTCATTGTCACTTCTAACACATTTTCAATCTCTAGACATTTTCTTTATATAAAGAGGGAAATTACGTGGCTAAAAGATACAGTGTCGTGTAAACTACAGGGTTTCTTAGGATGTTTTGAGGTGGAGTTAGTTACTCTTCCATGGTCAGCAAATTACCTACAGCAGATAGCCGTCAGCAGAACCCTAGTTTTGGAGACGTAGTACTGGCACGGAAGCAAAGTAATGTACTACTTTGGACAGGTACATCAGACAAACATACCGGCAGAAAGGGTATTTGCCTGGTCTTCAATAACACATTTAACAAAACAAACGAAGCAGTGAAACACCACTAACTTCTATCTTCTCCAAGGTAAAAGGACTGTTTTGGTCAATGGAGTCTGGTAGCTACAAAAAGAGAACGAATTACAGCTTCTGTTCCCTGCTAGAAATAGCTGTACATTTTAAATAGCACAGAAGTACATTGCTTATCCCCCATCCCCCATACTTCTGACTGTTACTCCAAACTGGGCACATCTACTGTAGGTACCTCATACTAATTGTTTTTTAAATTATCCCTTTAATGGTTTAAACGAGAAAATCGGACATCCGGTTAAGTGATTAAGACCAGTTTCATGACCAATCATAATGAATTCTTCATGATGTTTTCCAACTTCCTGTCTCCTGCAGGGCGCTCTTTGATCGAGTGATCCACTTAAGCGTTTCAGTACAAAAGATCAAGTTCTTCTTCAAGCGCTACTTGGAGTACGAGAAGAAGCTCGGCACCCCGCAGAGCATCCAGGCTGTCAAAGAGAAGGCCATGGAGTTTGTGGAAGCTAAAGGCACAGAGGCTGCCAACTAATGACCAAACACACACAAATAACACTGAGCCTCACACATGTTTGGAAACAAGTGTGTGGCTCCCTGCTAAAAATTATGAACTCCTCAGCTTGTAACCTAGTTTTTATTGTACTGGAGACTGAAGGTCATAACTTTTGTAAAGTGAGTTGTAACCATCTATAAATGTCAAAACAAACTTGTATTTAACATTTCATTTTAGACAATTTTGTGTGTAATGCTATGAAGAGAGAAATTAATGTCATGACTATTAATTACTGCATATTTGAATGGCTACCAAACCTTTTATGGGAGCATGTTTCTATAAAATGACAATGACGCTTCAATAAATCCAACACCAATACATTACGCGACGTTTTATTTAAAAGCAACAAATACAAAATAACAATATATAGGGACATGTTTACATACAATACATACAGGCAAGACTAGTTTTCTATCAGTCTCTTTTTAAAAGGAAAAGGGCATGGGACATACTCTGTAACAATATTGTCTACTTTAAATTGCCATGGTTGTAATCCCGCTGGTCTTAGTTTGAGACGGAGGTCGTGGCTCTACCTCTGACTGCGGTTCACCTACATTGGCAGTATTGAAGATGCATGTGTGGCACAGGGTTATAGGGTGACTTGACATGGGTTGTGCTGGCTGTATCGGTAACACCCCTGAGATATAAGAGGTATCCATACTGATCCTGTACTCTGAAGTCCCGCTCAATGCCTGAAGTGTTTGTCTCTGGCAGTGCTGCACTAGTCGTCCAATGACAGTGGCAATGATATCCTGCTCTCTAATGTGGCTCCTGTTTCCTGTCATGTTTTGTTTTTTTGGTGAACAGTGCAATATGGAAGTTGAACTAGGAGCTAATTTTTTTATGAAAAGATCCTATTCATCCACTCACTCCCTGACTGATCTGACCAAGTCATTTTGGCGCTCTCAATATCCAATTCCCATCAAGGCGTATTGCTCAAAGGTCAGCAGCAGGGCGGCCACTTTGGGATCATTATCAACATTTCCTGTGAGATGTCTTTAAGATGACCGCTGTCCATCATCCCTAGTGTATTTAATGTGTGTGTTTCCTGTAAGGGGAGTTCGGTTTCCTCTCACACAGCTCTTTCACACCTCCTCCGGATCTAGCGGACCCTCTGAACCCTGGGGAGCGTCTGTGTGGAGCCGGAGGATGGGTTTGTTGCACATGGGGCAGACGCTGCGGATCTCCAGCCACTTGAGCAGGCACCTGACAGGACAAAAAACAGTTTCTTAAAAAAAGGAACAATTGAATCTAGTTTAGGACAACACTATCACCGCTTAAGAATCCTTATTTGCTGAAATTAATTTATCAACAAAGATGTATTTACTTATAAGTAACTAAGTTTTGTAAGGAAGCCCAATTCTGCCATTATGAGTAGCTTTTCACAAACTAAATGCATGTTATATGTAATTTACTATACCTGAATAATAAGAAGCTTTCAAGAAAAAATATTAATTGGAAAAAGGCTGTCAATCATTTTGAGAAAGTTTGTCACAACGACTTGCACACATATTTTATCCTACTAAATATTTGTCTTCAACCTGACACATCTTGGTGAAAACTGCATAGATATTTGACTTTTTTTAAGTGTTTGTTCAATTAAGCATTATGAAAGAGTATGTCATTTTAACCTGTTAAACCCCGAGCCTGTTTTTCAGGTCTCAGGCTCGAAAATGACATTCCCAGAACAAATGACCATATCTTCCCTTCTAAAAGGGTTAAATTAGTATTCTTTTTTTCTCAAAGTAATGATAAACCTGTGAGTTGGATGTAGAAAAGTCAGAATCAATATAGATGTTTTTTATTTTAAAGAAAATTCAGATTGAACATGGATGATGGGTTAGTAGAATAAAAGCTTTAGGAATCCAAAGTACAACATATAATAAGTACCCTGTATCAAGATTGATGCAAAAACAAGTGATATTTGACCTTTTTAGACAGATTTAGCCAAAAAAACCTCTTCTGGGGCCATTTGGGTGGATTTTCCATATCTCTGGCCCCCCTTGTTCGATTTTGACATGTGACATCTCTTTCTGACCGTCAGAGCCAATAGAATCCAAGGGAAATCGTCCCGCACACACATGTTAAAAAAAAGGTGTCGTCTCTGCACATGCTAGCTTGCAGCAGAAGGGAGAAATATCGCTGCTCTGATATAAAGCAACGGAAAAGCTGTTTTTATTGTTTATGGATTATCAGAACATTTCAAAGGGGACACAGACACATTGGATTAACCTATGGATTAACTACAGCATCGTTTTTTTTTTTTATCGTTTTAATGCCATTGAAGACCAGTTTAGACCAGGCAAAGACGAAGGGAAGCCATGTTAGCGTTGTGGGCTACCTAGCGCCACTTGTTTTGATGTACGTTGTTGTTGATAACGTCGAGTTTGCATCTTTCAGTGTTGAGGTGGGCACCGTTAGATTCTGTGTCTTTGCGATCATAAACGATGTGTTGGATGTGCACCTAGGATAAGTAATAAGGGAGCTAGGAGTGATTATCGGTGCAGTAATAGGTTAGCATTTTTCGCTCAGGGGTCATTTAGAGATGCTTCTTATGAGACTTGTGTTTTGATTTGGTAAAAATGGTTTGTATCGTCAGTTAGCTGAGGTTATTCCCGTTAATCTGGTATAACACATTAATAGGTTCTTAAATATTAAGATCCCCTGAGACACAGTGTCGTGAACACAAAAAAAAAGGACCCGCCGAGAGGGTCCTTGGGGCTTACCAGGAAATACGCTTATTCTCTTTCTTGTCATAGTCAAATATTTAATACCACTCAAGTGTGCAGGGCAAGCTACAGCCAATAGCATGATTGGAAAAATTGCTTTGAAAATCTATCCCAGTTCCTCCACAGCTCACTAATTAAATGCCATATCTTGTTTGTTTATTCAGAATATGGAAGCCCATTTAAGCCAGAGTGATGGAAAAAAGATTATGCAAGTCATTATGTGAAACTCGAAAGTAATAAATAAGTATATACAAATATTGAAGTCGTAACTATATATATTACAAAAAATTACCTTTTAAAAAAACCTTTAGAAAGCTTTCTTGTTTAGGCCATATCATTTTGACATTCTTACTAAATTAACTTGAATTTCGAAAGAAAAATATAAATATATACATAATAGGCCTACTAGATATTAGTAGAATTAGTATATCTTTTTTTATTTTTTTAAACAAGTGCTAGTTTCCATGTTTCGTTTTTCTTTTGCAAGCAGCATTGGGCCTCCATACCTGACAAATCCAAGGTGTAAACTTGGGCTAACTGTTTCTCCCTGTCCAGTCCTAATGCTAAGCTAACCGTTGACAATTTTAACAAAAACATCTTCTCCTCATCTTACTATTGCCCAGAAAGCGAATACGTTTCTATTTATACTTTCCATTGTAGTTAAACTCACTTCTTGTGAAATGCATGTGAGCATGGGCACACTCCCAGTTCATCTCTGGTCCTGAACTCTTCCAGACACACTGCACAGGTTTGCTGCAAGGACGAAAAAAACACCAAGGTTAGTTCAGCAATCTACATTTCATTACATTTATTGTGTTTTCCCCTAACCTGTATTCAACTGGGGGCCTGTATCTCACAACAGCCAATAACATTGCCATTTGTAAGTAAGCTACATTTCAGTAGTAGCCTAAATCAATTTAATCTGACGTAGATTTTGAGCAATGCACAAGTAAAAGCGTCTGTTTAAAAAAAAATGCTTTTACCTTAACTATGTTCTCTATTAAAAGGGCTCATAAGACCTTGTACATAGGCAGAGGTTGGACAGTTAATTAAAAATTACGGCTGACCACCACTGCCCTGGAAAGGCAGCAACGAAATTGCAAAAGCCATCTTTTGAGCAATCACAAGAGACAGAGTAGGGATCTTTGTATAATGCATATTGAATGAGTGCAGTTATTCCTGGAGTCCTAATTCTGCTACAAGGAGAGAGCAGAGCATTTTTTTTTTAAATGGCGGCATTTGAGTTACAAGATCTTTTGAGGACATCTTGAGTGTGTGCTGCATGTTAATCACATCTGAGAGGAGAAATTGATTTAGTTGACTAACCGAACCCTCCCAGCTCATAATTTGTCATCTGAGCTGGAGTGGAAACAGTGTGGGGGTAACATGTGTACTGCTGCCAGGTCATAACATATACATTAAGCACAAGTGATGTGTATGAGCTTTTGTTTGCAGAAAGAATGACTTACTCCGAGAAGGCTCAGTTTCTTGCTGGCTCCCTTCAGCACCACCTATGGTTACAAATATGAAAAGGACTGAAGTATTGTGTCATGTGAAGGATGTGTCAATACTATTATTCTTGCAGAAAATCGATGGTGTAAAACAAACACTTCAGATGGCTTCAATAATCTGCCTGTGTGACGGGCTTGAAAAGTATCAGCAGGAGTGGTTTGTACTCCTGTTTGTGATGTTTTTTATCTTTCATATTAAAAAAAAGATCATAATGAATACATAATACAGATGGCTGGAGTTGAGGCTGAAAATATTTTCATCAACTGTCACCAAGCTACATTGTGACACCCTGTTCCCAGATCATCATATCAGGCCTGTTCACACTGCAGCTGGATTAACAGCTTTGAATCAGAGGGCAGGTAAGGACACTCGATGAAGACAAGGTCATCTATAAAGGGTGGTGTTATGTTTCACAGTTGACAATAATGGTGTGAAATGCTATAGTAGTATTTATAACCAGCCTCAGAAGCGGGTGTTACATGTTCAACCATAGTGACATATACTGCAGGGACATACCTCATTGTAGCTGAACTGCTCCCTTGTTCCTTGTTGTTTCAACCTGAGAGTGGCAGAGAGAGAACAACATCTGTACGGTAGAAAAGATTGGCGTAATAGCTGTAACTTAATTCAGTGGTTCACAACCTGGGGGCCGGGGCCCTAACTCCATTGTGATCTATTTTGTTTACCACTCAGATACTAAACCCTCAGTAGCCAAGCCAGTTTTCCATCCAAATCTACCCTTCATTTGTACCCCATTTTGAGGTAATCGACAATGAAAATCACTGATTCACTTTACTACAGACATGCAACCGGTGTCTAGGGGTCATAAGATGATGTCCTTTTATATATGGCGGTTTCAGGCCAAACTGACTTAAAGGAACTAATCAAATACATCAAACCTCAGTATATTGTCATATCAACAAGCAATTTAGTATAATCTAATAACTTTGGATGAACCGGCACTATAGCCTAGGCCTACACATTTTAAGAAACTGTCTTAACTCAATTGATAACATTTTTGATCATATAATTTTATACAATACTATTTAAAAACTGATAATGATTTATTGTTTGTATCATTGTGTCATTTATAATAACTGCACAACATGTGCATAAAGGACAAGAGTCCTTTATGTGGTGTTCACATCTGCCACATGGGGGTAGCGCAAACAGTTTTAAAATACAACATTGAGGTTATACCACTTGATGAAAGGCGAACATTTTTGTAAACAGTTACTTATTTGCACTTCCTGCTGAAGTAAGGCCAAACTAGAATTTATTTGGATTTGTGTTTGTGCGGACCTGATACATGTAAGTCAAACATTGACTCGTCTTGTAGTTGTTTTGGCTGTAGCTAGCTGGTCAGCTAGTTTGTTGCTAACTATTGTCTGCTTTTTGGTGCTTGGCAGGTAGCTTTTTGTGAGTTTTACAACCTTTTAATGAAAACAGGCCTCAAACTCTATTACTTGGCAATTTTTAATTGATAGCCTTACTTTTGTTGTATGTTTTAAGATGTAAACATTATCATAGCACAGGGGCAGATTGCATTAAGCTGGTACAAAGCACTGTTTCTTTTTTTTATTTATATTTTTTGACATGGTCCCTGATATAAATGTAGTGAACAAACTATAAATAATGAAGTCATTTTTGTATTTGTTTTCTAATCATACAATTATAATAAACCATATTTAGCATGTTTGACAGCTCTGCAGGGCAACACTCCATACATTTGCATCATGATAGCTGCTATCATCACACATTAAGGTTGCACTCTTGCTGTACCCAATGACACCACTTTTCGTCTGTTGCCATCAGGGCGTAGATATGCTCTACCTGATCAAAGGACTAATCGCTTTTCAAAATCATTTATCCCTTCTGCACTCAAAGTTTTACATTCTTGAAAGGCTTTTAACTTGATTATTTATTTATTATTGTGATGCTTTGAACTATTTATAGTGTAAATTGGAATTATCCACATCTGTGCTCCCGGGTGTATCTGTGTGTTGTTCTTCTTGTATGTTCCTGCCTGTGTACATGACATAAACTGCTGCTCATAACCAATTGCCCCTTGCAGGATTAATAAAGTTGTTGATTGATTGACTTTACTTTTTGTACTTTCTGTTTTCCCCCACATTTCTCATGCAGCTCCCTTTCTCACTTTCTCCCCAGATGTTCACAGTCACCCTGTCAACATTCCCCCCAAACCTACCTGAAAAGGTAGCAGCAGAAGATCAGGCTCAGCATAAACACAAAAAGACCGATGCCCAGCACAATGACGTATACGTTGAGCGGAAGGTGATAGATGTCAGACGTCATGCTGCAGTCGTGTTCAGAGCGCTGAGAACCCAAACCACACAGGCATCCTGGCAGGAAGAGTTTACAGATACAGATTACATACTGGTAACTCTTAACCTGTAGGGTCAAAGTTTAGTTCAATACATATTCTTTCTCTTTAAAATCAAATATTGTTACATTTAGAGAAGCAGTCATGATGTGGGACGAAGTCTAGTTTTCTGTATTTTCAGCTATTTTTACAAACTCAATCTTTTAAACTGAATTTTACTTCAGAAAATAGAGAGCTACTGAGAAAACTGTCTGGCAACCTAATTGTTTCCTGTCAAACACCGAAGCACCCTAAGATCTAACAGTATCCAGTCCAGCATTACAGTGCAGGCTTAAATTAGTAGCCTAGACTTTGCCATTTGAACAGCCAATCGTTATGAGTTTAGCGAGCAGTTGAGTTAAGAAAATCTATATTATTTACAAGCAGTAAAAAAATCTAAATTGTTTGGTGATGAGAAAAAAATGGAATCCTGGAAGGGCAGCAGGACATTGTTGATTTTGGTATTTGTTGCAAAACTTAAACCATACTGGTCTTTTTTTAATACAATTATTTTGGTGTTTGTTTTGGAGGCAGGTGTTTCAAGGGAGCTTGTGACTGGCACTGTGGTGGAAACTGAGACGATCACTGGACTGTACGTTAATTGGCTGTGAACAAGACAAACATGGAGGAGAGACACCACTTCCGCCACACCGCCATCTGTTCCACAGACTCTATAGAGGTGTGTGTGTGTGTGTGTGTGTGTGTGTGTGTGTGTGTGTGTGTGTGTGTGTGTGTGTGTGTGTGTGTGTGTGTGTGTGTGTGTGTGTGTGTGTGTGTGTGTGTGTGTGTGTGTGTGTGTGTGTGTGTGTGTGTGTGTGTGTGTGTGTGTGTGTGTGTGTGTGTGTGTGTGTGTGTGTGTGTGTGTGTGTGTGTGTGTGTGTGTGTGTGTGTGTGTGTGTGTGTGTGTGTGTGTGTGTGTGTGTGTGTGTGTGTCAGCACTGGGGGATGGAGGATAGGGGTTGTGTGCTGTCTGAAATGTGTGTGTGGTAGGGGTTGGGGGTATATATTAAACGGATTAAACTCCAGGGACTAAAGGACCATTTGGTAAAACAATAGCGGAGGAAGCCCCACTTCCACAGGCCGCATGTGTTCCTATTAATTTGCAGCGAGGATGTTCTTTGCCGGCCTCGAAGTCCATGTGTCTCTCTTTAGAGGGAATGAATGGGTACAGCTTGCACATCGTGGGGGGTATGGGGTGGATAATTTGACATGGCTGGGTGGTTGGGGGATTTACAGGGGAAGAGGGGGGTTTATTGTAGGGAAGACCTAGGATAGCATAATGATACAATTATGAACATCCTGGATGCACTTCAGAATCAGTAGACAGTAACAAAACAAGAGTTTATAAAAAAGTTAGGGAATAAAAAAAGAAAGGCCAGGACAGCACTCCATTTTGTCTAGTTAATATTGCCACATGTACGTTTCGTAGGATTGAAAATGACCAGAATACACGCTGAAAAGGGCCTTTAATGTCTATAAATAATAATTATAAATAGTCAAAGTGGAGTGCTGTCATAGCCCTCCTTTTGTCTTCGACATTAAAGCTCCAGCAGCCAGTCTTCAAGGTCCAATTGTGGTTTGAGTACGTTTTGTCTTCTTCTTAGGGAATTTAGAGGATAAATATCTTCAGTTTCGGTTGTCATGGTTGTCAAACAAACATGACCTTGAGTTATTTTTATATTTGATCTGCATTCTCTCAGAAATGTTCCCTTTCACAAGTACACCCATTACATGGATCCCATAAGCTGAGCAGAAAGCTGAATAACTGACTCTACGAGATATACAAGTTAGGACACGCGCCACCACCTCTGGTGTATTTGGCAGACAGCAGAGAAATCCACTCACTTACCGTTACACCATTGGAATGGTTGCATGAAATTTGACTCCCAGGGTAGCAGCAGTAAATGCAGGCCCTGTCAGGAGAAGGCTGGAGGGTAGCCAAGCTCGTGGGCTGGAGCTCCGGAAACTGGATCTTTTTGGAGCCTAATATTCAGTCCTTTTGTTGGCTTGTGTCAGACAGCTCCTCTGAAAAAACAACCATCAAGATTTTTCAGATTTACTCAGATTCCACAAATCCTCAGGGAGGTGCAGTTTTGTTGGCTCAGCAGTCTGTGCTGCCCAGCATTCCACAAATCTGGATTAACCACTCCGTGTAAAGACTGGGAGATTTGGTACTGGGATTTGGACTGGAGACCTCATGTGCTCCTGGATCCCAGCGAGGATGATGTCATTACATGGGGGAGAAGGAGAAACAAAGAAATGTTGTTGATTGTTTTTGCAGATACCTCATACTATGTGTTATTCACGAGTTGTTATGTTGGAAAACTGAATCTCACTCAGACACAATGTCATACATAAACCACACAGGCTGCTCAGAAACAGGAAATACTTACATTTTCAGTAGAAATGGGCCTCTTAGACTTCTCTTTTGCATCTGCAGTGTCGTCCCCTGGCCAGATTCAATGACACCCACCGTTTAAAATGACAGTCCTCGTCCAATGAAGGTAATTATCTGGCATTAGTCTACGCTTTGTCTTCCTCCCCAAAGCTGCTTTTTTAACCGAGGATTTTCAGAAGTCTCAACCCCCTCTCCTCTGTTGTCTCCTCCTCCAGTCCTCTGATCTTGCAGTGGGTATTCCTCCTCAGTGTTGATGTGCTCCCTTCAAAGCCCAAACAAAGTGAGCACAGCTCCATGCAGTCAACAACAGTCCTCTTGCTGGGTTTGGTGTTTTGCTGGTGTTTGTGTGTCAGTTAGTGCATGTGTGTGCAGGGTGGGGTGGGGGGGATTCTACTCTCCCTCTAACCATCTGCTCCTTCAATTAAGGGAAAAAAACAAAGGCGCAGGAGTGTGTCTGCGTGTGTCGTGTTCAGACTCTCCAAACCTCCAGCTGGCTTTGTCATGGCAGGCTTCCCCTCTTCCTCTTTTCAATCCAGGATGATGCTCAGAGAGAGAGAGATTGACAGAGAGACTACAGATTGCCTTTCCCTTCCTCCCCTTGCTCCTGCTCTGGTCTGCCTTGGGTTTGTAAACAGATCTGTGCTCATGTGACCAGCCGTTTTGCCTCGCAACTCTCCTCTCCCTCAGCCCTCCCTCGCTCCCTCTGTCCTCCAATCTGTAGGCAGAAGGAAGGCAGAATGAGCCCGACACTGACGAATAGGGCGCCTGCAAGCACGCTGCTGTGTGTGTGTCTGTGTGCGCACACAGCCGTGTGTGTGAGTGAGGGAAGAGAGAGAGACGTTTGCAGCAATGTCGAGGGAGGCCCCGGTCAGCAGCATGCCCAGATGTCCTGACAACCATAACAAAGCCATTTGTGTGAGGAGTGGAGGTCAGCAAAAGAAGCAGAAGACGCCACATCATTCACTATTTCCTTCACTTGTACACACGGTTGTATTTTTGGAGCAGATTGTTATTCATATTTGCTTGGTTTGATCTATATATAAACATCTTGTCACTCTTTTGCAAAGGGAGAAGGAGGAAGGGAAGATGGGGGGGAGGATTCTGTGGATAGAGGGAACAAAGTAGGAAGTAAGGAAATATTAGAGAATGAAAAATGGTAGACACAGAGAGAAAAAAGTCACAGTCTGGACAAAGACGTCCATCCTCCCCCACACCAGCAGCCTTGGCTGGGGGAAGAACAGCTGTTGGGCTACTGGGCGAGTTGTGGGATGGTCAAGGGGAGTGCTACTTCACCAATCCCCAGGGGGGGAGGAAGGGAGGATTCGATGAGATCCATGCCATTTTCATGCCATTACTGCTGAATACAGGAACAGCTGGATTGAGTGCACAGATGCATGAGCATATAAACACTGTTCCTGTACAAAGCATGCACTGTTGGGTGTTAACAGGTTTCAGAATCCGATGGGAAGTGTGTTGTTGGAGCTGCAGGGTTGGTTCTCGTTGTTGGCTTGTGGAGGATGGTGGTTTTGTTAACAGCACGCCCTCTTGTGAAATATGATGAAACACATTGTCAACAACAGCTTCCTGAAGTTATACAGATTGTGAGAACAGTGGCGGAAAGTATATTAACTTAAGAATTCTACTGAGATACAATTTTGAAGTACTAGTACTTTACATTAGTATTTTCAGTTTATGCTACAACATTTGGAGGCCAGTAATCTTCTTTTTACCCCACTACATGTATTTGATAACTTAACTTACTTTGCAGATTCAGGCTCTTAAAGAGGCCCTATTATGCTGTTTGGGTTTACCCCTCACTGTAGTGTGTTATAGTTTTTGTTCATGTAAATGTTCTGCAAAGGCTAAAATCCCAAAGTTTCCTCCAGAGGGAGTCTCTCTCCACCCCCCCCCTGCCTGAAACGCCTCAATTGGACTCCTTTGTTTACTTCTGTAACATAATGACATCACCATGTAACAATTGCGCTTCTATTGGTTAGCGCTTCTAAGGGGCGGGACATCTCTTAGTGGTTGACCAATCTTTTAAATGATGATGTTTTATTCTAGGTAAAGATACCCAGCAGTTTATGAATCAAATAATATAAGGTTTATCTTTACCAGCTGCAACATTAAATGATACATGAATAAAAGAAAATCCAGTGATAATAAATATTATTCTAAAATATGTCATCCCGCTAAATTTGTATTTTATCTTAAGTACTCATGCTAGTACTTTTGGTCTTCATGAGTTAGATTCGAATGGATCTTTGCTTGTAAAAAGGTAATTTTTACATAGTAGTATTGCTATTTTTACTTCAATAAAAGATCTGAATATTATATATTACCACTGTAGGGAAACACCATGTTATATACAGTTTACTATAATGCTATTGCTTTAAAAGGCTTTTTCATCACATAGAAAACAATTCCTTAATGTTTTACCAAGCAGTGACTGACAACAAAATGAGGGAGCAAGAGAGATGTAAATCTTGGCCTTGTTTTCTTAGTGACATGTAAATTGTTTTATTGTTTTGCATAAATCATTGCTTTTCCAAATTGGAAATACAGTAGCATTGTAGGTTTATGTCGAATAACAAGGTTAGAGGCTAGAAATTTGCCTCAAGGCCTAATAAATTATATAACATATATGTTAATAACTAATTAAAAAGTTGTTACTTTTGAAAGCCCAGGCTGATTCTAGTGATTCAATTCAGTTCTTGTGATTAATAAATGTAGGCTAAATAAGTCTTGCTTGGGTGGCCTCAAGTGGCAGTTACTGGGTAATATAAAAGGATAACATGTAGTATTGTGATCTGTTTACACCAAATGTAACATTATTTTTTAGTGTTGATATAGCATCTACAATGTTAGCATAGCCTTGACCGACCCAAACTCCATACAGAATACATTACTAGCATTTTCAAAGTTAGTTGTTAGTTGTAGTTTTTGTAAGGTGCCCAGTTTATTTCAGTCTTTTGAAAATAAACACAAATTATTAATGGTCAAACTAACCAAAACTGTGCAAACTGGAATCTAATTAAGTAACGTTGGTTGAACAGCAATATCAAGCTAGCTAGCTATCAGCTATATGCTATTAGTCTTCCCAGACAAAGCAAGTCTGTAGCAGCAAAACATATGAGTGTTTTGCTTTTAGAAAGAGTGTTTTCTTTGTATGAATTCATCTTTTTATTTCTAGGCGACAGATTGTGTTATTACTTCTTTCTTTCGTCACAAGGTCCCTTTTTATAATGCAAGGAGCAGCAGAGTCTGGACGTCCACACACCACTTTTCCTTGCCCTGGAGATATTTATAGTGGCTTGCACTTGAGAGCAGCACAAACATTAACTAGCGTTGTCAATCAACAAAACTCTCCAGTGTGTTGTTATGATGTTTTACTACCAGCCTATATTCTAACTCACTTTGACAAATTACTAATACTAGCTAATAGAAACAAAAATAATTCTGAAAGTCAAATACGAGCCAATGCAAGCTTTTCTTATCCTCTTGAACGTTTCAGACCTTACTGTAATAAACCGCCCATTCCTTTTTCGCCACTTCATGGGTGTGTCCATTTACTAATCCATTGGCAGCTCCCTTGGCGTTCCCATTCAGTTTGCCATTGTTTTCACCCTCCATTTGTTCCTTTCTCAGAGCCAGAGGTGGCTTACAGGTGTGCCAGTTCCATAAAACCTTATTCATGTCATCCTGCGCTCTGATACCCATAAGTTTTTCTTCGTCACTCCTCTTATCATCCTCTCCGTCGTCGCTGTCGTCCTTGCCGGTGGTGCGATGGTGGTGGAGGGTTTGCATCTCCCCGCTGATGTTCTCAAAGTACTGGTGAATGCAAACCTTGGCGAAACTCTTGGCGTGGTCCTTGCAAGCCTCGTCAAACATCTTGCGCTCAACGTCGATGTAATGGGACCAGTACTTGGTCTTGAGGAAGGCAGCTTGAGAAAAGCATGGACGAATAGCTCGGATCAGGAAGGCCGTTAAGGTAATCATTAGCAGAAACATCCATCCACATGCCTGTAAAAAATAGATACTATCAAATGTTTTGGTGTGCCAAAATTACCCCAATTCTGAGCACTCATTAATGATAATAAGGTGTACGAAAGTAGATAAAAGAAAGATGGCCTTTGATTAATATTGAGTTGTGTTTGTCTTCTTGTAGATACTGAAGTGAAATTGTCCTATATGTGACCAAAAAAGCATCTCACTGAGCTTCCTGACAGTTCCATAGCTCATTAACAGAATCAATAGACTTTTCAGAGACATCTTACTTTTAAGCCTGTGTATAATATGGCCTGCGGCTGATCAAAGACTTAAAGAACAGAGTGGGTGTTTTTTGGATGGATTGAAATAGGTCCCAGTGCAATGAATAATACATTTAGAGGCTTATCTATCACTCTAATAAGCAAAGAGGAAAGCTTCAGTGAACTCAAAGTGCAAAGTCTGGTGCAGATTTAGGTTAACTACAGTTTTTGAGGAATGGAGCAAAGAAAATGTAAGATGCTTCGTCATCATATGCTGTGTTAAAAAAACGGATAGCTTAAAGTCTCCCAACTGTTGGAGACACTAACTGTAAATCAACTGATTAATCCGACTATTTACTTTATTATGTTCTATTA